GACATAATCTACTAACATTGTCCTGTCGACTCACTTAGCATTGGGATCAGATTTGTACTTCTATGTTGTACTGTACGTGAGAAGTACCTTAGACATAAGCTTTTTCTTTCTATGACCCTCTAGGTTACATTCATGATCTAAACTAATGTAAAACAATTTTACATATCTTAGTGTCATTAAGAAGGCCTTATCCTTGATGCACCAAAGAAGTTCAGGTGTGTGTTTCCATGAATTTCTGCCAGATGTTAGATCCTTGGGAATCCAAGCAGTATTTCAGGTAGAACCCAATCTCCTTGCTTTTTCATGTCAAATTAAAATATACCATTCCATACAGCAAAATCCAGGTTCAGGAACTGCAGTCACAGTTGAAAGGAGAAGCACTGTCCTTTTTGCTGACTAATTTTGCAAGTTCAAAGAATTAAGTCAATAACATCATCACAAAAAAGGGTCTCTGTGTAACGGCCAAGCAACAGTTGCACGTGCCATTGTTCTGGTGGTGACCCGCAGGTTTATTGTTTGCTACCGTGTTACCTATAAAAGAAAAGGAAAGAGTTACCTACACAGAATCAATCAAACACAGATGACAGCACGTGCTTTGTTGCTGCAAACGAGCTGTCCACATGAATACATCATGAATGCACTGGCACCAGCCATACCTGCATACTTTGCACAGAAACAAAATCCATATGCAAATTTTAATTATACTGTTATTCAATAGTGTAAGGGAGATTTGCAGACAAAAAAACCAGCCATTTACTATTAAATTTGCCACCATCTCGTGGAAATCTCCTTCTGCTTTATTTTGCTTAGCATCATTTTCAACACCAATGCCTACAGCACAAACCTACAACTTACATCCCAAAAGATTGTTCATGCAAACTGCTACCCATTCCCAGCGGTCCACCTTATGGGAGACAACCGGGGATCAGACAGAACATGGTCTGCAGAGGGGATGAATTGTTCTTGCAGCAGAAGCTTCTCCCAGATAACAGTTCTCCCATGGGACCTCTCTTACAACCAAACACACGCTCAGTCAGCTGCTCAGGGCTGTACGTGCAAGCCTCAATGCACACACACAGCGCACAAACCCGGTGGGTTTGGCTGCACAGGGAGGAGGGGTCATGTCAGATTTCCCATCCTGGAAATGGATGAGAGTAGGCAGCCTGCAAGGAGGAAAGCTTTGTCAGCTCTGCTCTGCCGTAACAAGACATGTTACAAAACTAAACAGACACTAAGCATAGAGAAGTTTTTATTTTCTTCCCTGAGGTAACTGATGTAAGATACGAGCTCTTCAGCTTTTCACGTTCTAACTGTCCCACTCAGCTATTCCTCTAAATACTGAATAGCATCAGCAGTCTCCTGTGCTTCATATACTTCAACTCACTCTAGTATTTTCACAAAATGAAAAGATAAAGGACTTAAAATTGATTACATGGCATTGCCTCTTTCAGTGTATAATTAACCTGTGGAAGTCATTGTCCCAAATAGCACTGATCCCAGGGTCTTAGAAAGCTTTAAAAACTGATTAGAAATTTAAATGGTAATGAGATCATCTTTGCTATGTAACATAGCAAAAAAAATTAATATGGAATGGATCTCAACTCTCATGTTTTAGACATAAGCCAGCTCTGAAAATTGGAAGAATTTCATGTATGTGTACATTTTCTATAACTTTCAACAAGGGCTTCACTGGGTCTTTCTGATTTAAGTATCCCAGCACTGGAACACACGGGCTTTTTGGACTACTGGTCTGACTGTTCATACAGTCTTCTTTGCATAAAGTTCAACGTTCTTAACACATATTTTGTTGATTGAGGTGAGTTTGTACAAATCTTTGGTTCATTTTTAAAATAAAAAAATAAGTTACATCATACTTTCCTTTTCCCTATAACAAGGGAAATTTTCTTTCCATTCTGTTTTCCTTCCAGTTCAATATTGCCCGTGCCACAAGCTCTTGTTCAGAATCTGGAGTTACCATTACTCATTATATTTGTGCAACAACTAAATCTTGGTAGACAGAGAAAACCACCCACAAGCCAGGCACGGAGGAAATACGAATGCCAGGACAGATTCTGTAGCACAGCTTTTGCTGTCTAGCAAGCAGGCATCTACATGTTAAGTTTGTCATGCAGGACTTCCTTAAGGTACAGGAGAGAGAAAGAAGTACTCCTGGGAACACACTCGTGGATGGGCACAGACATGCTGTGAGATCACCCATTTCTCCCCATGTGACTTTGGAGAATCCTAAACAGCTTGTATGGAACCATGCCTGCAGCTGGGCACAATGAATCCCACCCACAAACCTTGGACATGTCCCTTCTTACCTGGACCAATAAAGAAGACAAAGTTGATTATTTCAGACTGATTCTCAAAAGGTACAACACGAAAAGCTAACTACAGCAGTACAACAACTTAGTGATAGCATGACAAGTCCTCAGCTTTTAAAACTATCACTACTACCAAGGATATAGCTATGTTAACTCTCAGCCTTCAAAAGAAACTCTTCAAGGTTCACTTACTAACAACACCAGTAAATGCATGGAAAAAGGTTTTATGGGTCAGACCCAAAGTATTTAAAAGCATGAAAGTAATTATTTCCCTGCAGTATCCACACATAAAACACATACAGCGAACAATGGCAGAACTTCTAGCAAAGGGTAATTAAAAAGGGAGGGACTGAGACACTTTTTTAAGGGATCCGCCCTTTAAGGAAGTCTGCCTGTTCCCTTCTCCAACATGGACAATCACTAGTTCAAGGTTTGGACTCTCTCGTGTCATTTCAATGTAATTTAACCACTAACTTCGTTGTTCATATCTACATTTATATGGTTGCAGTATGCCAAGACCCCAGTCAGAATCAGGATCTCCCTTATGCTGCTGCTAACTGCATGCACAAGAAAATACAGTCCTACCTTAACATGCTTAAATCTAAAGCAACACAGGGCAGTGAAAGGAAAATAAAACCATGCAAAGAAAATGAACAGTTCTCATCTCAGTAATATAGCTGAATGATTCACATCTAAGCATAAGTGCTGGTTGTTTGCTTATCCTTTCAATTAAATGCCCCTCAAAGAAATCTCCTATGGTGACAAAAATCAATGCAAAATGCATTAGCCCACTTCCCAGCAACGTAGAGGAAGAGTTTAATGAAATAACATTTGCACTCATATTGCTACACTCTGCCCTCTCTTAGACCCAGACAAACTCACTGGAGTTGATGAATTTGCACAGGTCTAATTGCAGGCAGGATGATTTGTCCCACTCTAGCTTTATAAAGACATCCCTAAACTCATCAGAATGCATTACCATATTCTGCAGTTTCCTGGTTGCAATATTTGTCATGGATAATAAAATAAATGAACCATGCCAAATTTGCCCTTCTATTAGTAAACTCCCACTGACTCAGGCTGCCTCTTTTCCCTATTTAAGAGCAGGAGTCCTGAACACAGCCTATGTGACTCATGTGGTCAGTTGATCTCAATGAACTAAAAGGCAGCTGTTCATAAGAAGGACGGCACAGCCGCAGGAATGAGGACGGCTCACGCCTTCAGTCCTCAATGTCAACATAAAATAAGTTCTTCTACACTTCATCCCTCTAGTATCTATTGAAGGCATCAGGGATCTTTAGCCCTGGCTTATGCTTTCCAATAAGGTCCTTTTGGTATAAAATGCCAGCTCTCTTCTGGTATGTCCAGAAATTGTTATTTTTATTCAATATCTAAAACTTCTGCTCTGCCAGTCTCACCCTTCAGTGTGATGCTACAACACTACTCTTTATCTGTATATGAGTAGTTAAAATTCAGTGCCTGTGAAAACATTGAAAGGCTGAGGGCAATCTATACCTCAACTGGCTGTCAGTTACCCATACTGATTCTAAAGTGTGCAAGTCAACTCTTGGGTGTGGTAGCCACCACAGAACAGCTGGACCTAGGCACATCATAGGCTACATCTTTGGCATTAGATAAATAACATGGATTTCCAACAACTCCTCTGATCTTAAAAACAGGAATAGGGTTATTCAGATTGGTTGGTCTGGTCAGGTTTTTTACAGCGAGCGTGTGTCCTGGGTTAAGCTGAGACAGAACTGCCACCATGCAATGCCTGTAGCTGGGCTTTAGAACACCAATATCACACCACAGCTGCCCAAACCATCTAATTTTCTCTCTCTCCTCCAGAAATTAGTAGTTTTCACTTCTTAGAACAGCTATTATTAAAAAACATTTGGTGTTGGTATTTGCTTATTAACTCAGACTGTAACCTAATCAATGACATTCATTCCCAACTAGAAGAGGCTGTAAAGGAAAAAGCTAACCATATGTCTTTCCTTGCTATTGCCTGCTAAAGACTCATGTTTTGTGATGTATTTAGATATGCAGTTCGCCATGACTTGTTGAACTTCAAGGCACTGAACTCATTTTAGATTGTTAAGCAGCCAGAGGATATATTTTCTCTCTGCTGGCCATTAATTAAGCAATAGGATGACACAGCAAAGTGCTTTTCTTTAAAAGAAACCAGGCCTGTAATTAGAAATTATCGCAACCAGACTGATTTCCAGTGGTGCTCAGTGTCCCACAGTTCCCACTGATGTCAGTGCAGATTCTCAACAACTCCCAAGACAGGCTACTTCTCTCAAAAGCTAAAAGGGCTTTCCAGTAGCACAGGGTCCTAACATTAAGTGACACTGGTAGAGACCTTGGATCCATGTACTCAGACTGTAAATTGAAGAATTGGTCCTGGAACGTGGTTATCCCTCTCGTACTGTTCACAACTGAATAGTTTCTCTGCTCACCAAAGATGGAAGCAAGGCCTTCTTCGGTTTCACTCCAGCACCCAATATCTTTAACTAGGCTGGCAGTGAAGGGGCAGTTCTGACCCAACATCTCCCTTTCTACCAACAACTGCATTAACCACCGCTTTCCAAAACATTGAGAAGTCCAGTACTGCTGCTCACACCCACAGATGCAATGCAATAAGCAAGTGCTATCAGCAGACTGCCACCTTTAAATATAGGTGATCTCTGTACTTGCCTTTGTGGTTTTGACTTTATTTCCACTGCTGCAAGACCAACCTGAATAGTCTGGTAGTACTTTACAGTCCTCTCCATCCAAACAGGGGTTCATATGACACCACCACTTCTGTAGGACAATGGAAGCTAGAAAAAGAAATAGGAAAGAAAAACAGAATACAATTTTTTTTTTAATACTGTTGGTTTTAGTAGGGAGGTTGGTCTTTGTGCTGTTCAATTGTTTGATTACAAAGGGCAGAAACCAACAGTTATTGTTTTAATAGCTTATCACACCGATTGTGTATGAGTTAAAAATGCGGATGTGGTGCTTAGGGACATGGTCTAGTGAGTTAGGTGGTGTTGGGTTGGACTTGATGATCCTTGAGGTCTTTTCCAACCTTAATGATTCTATGATTCTATGATTCTAAAAAACTTTACCAGTACACAGAAGGGTAAATTCTATATGCAAATGCTGAAGACAGGCAAGCACCACCAGAGACTGACTCCAACGTTTGAACTGACCTCTGGAAGTGTCTTTCTCTCTCCACTGACTGCAAAGATGACTTGCCTCCTTCATTTATGTGCTTCAGTCAAGTACCTGCTATAATGTGGAATGAAACTAAGGCTTCTTGTTTAACCCGGATATGCACATGTGAAACTGGACAAAGAAATGCCAGTTTCTCCCTTCACTGGGTAAGAAAATAGAATTGCACAGAGAGGTAAGCATGTGAGGTCTGCCAGCAAATACTGCAGATAAGAATGTGGAAACCACTGGAAAGCATTAGGTTATTAACTAAAAATCTACTTGAGTTACACTAACAGCTTTGCAGTATGTTTTGGAACACCACGGTAGTACACCTTAACTGTGCAAATTTATTAATTTTCTACCTCAAGCCAATTTGCATTAATAAGACCACGCTTCTTATTTTTACAAATGTAGTCATGACTTCATAATACTGCTGTTAACAACAAATATACTTTCCCACAAACAGCTGCAAACATCTGCATGCATTTATCAGTTTTGCATTGTTCATGGGATTCATCAAATCCCATAAAATTATTATGAAATAGATCAGTTCATAATCTTACATAATCTAAATTGGATTTCAAAAATAAAATATTGCTTAAAATATTGATTTAGTCTGCATAATGCTACCATGTGCACAAAATATTGTATTTCATGCTTTAAAAGATACCACATACAAAAGAGATGAACAAAAATAATTTAGTCTACTTCTTGTAAAGCACTTTGTTTCCTCTGAATTTCAAGACATTCGTACTTTTGCAACCTTCAAATTCAGGTGACAAGCAGGCAAGCTGACATCAGGATATTGCCAAAATGTTGATTTGATTACTTTTGTTTTGCACTTTCAGTCTAAGTCCGCATGAAAAGCACTATGAAAAATATACTTCTGGAACACCAGTTTGGGTTTTATAAACCACTATTTCAGTCTCATAAAGTTATAAAATAAATGCATGATTCCTTTCACGAGTCATCTGGATCTTGGATCACTTGCACTGATGCTGATCGATTGTTGACAAAACGGGTGAAATGTGACCACGCTCCCTAGGAGGTGAGGGATCCTCTCCACTCCAGACATTAGTCCTGTCATCTATTTTATCTCTGCTACTTTCTAAACTTGTTTCAATTCTATACCAGACAGATTTATTTCAGGTAAACACGAGCAAGTCTAGAAGGCCAGATTCAGGAAGACTGAGGGCATGTGCAGAGGTCCCTAAGCAAGCAGGAGACCCTGGTAGCAAGCTAGCTGTGTCTTCAGAGCTCTGCTTCAAAGCCAGCAAGTCCTCCCGGGAGGCCTGGCTACTGCGTTACACGGCTCCCACCGCGCTGTTGTGAGTGCAGATGTGGCAAAATGCTGAGGCTTCGTCTGCACTCTGACATGTGAACATGCTTTCATATATTTAGTGCTACCCTCAAAATCTAAGTTCAGCTTCAGACCTTCAAAACCACCTCTCACCCACCCATCTCCTGCAAGTACCTAGAATCCCTTGAGCCTCAGCTACTCTGATAACTCCTTAGATCCAAACTTTTCCATATTGGTTTGGGTGCAGTTTTGAGATGGCAGAAAACGCACCAAACATGACAGTTTTTACTCACTAGACAACCTGCATCAACCTGCTCCTAACACCTGATAAAAAAAAAAAAAAAAAAAAAAGGCATTAGCTGACAGGCCAAAAGTGCAGCACAGCAGTAGGTTCACACAGCATTCTTGACCAGCTGTGCCCATGAAACTTCCTGGTCCATGTGTAACCGAAGTACATAAGACAGTGAAACTAGCCCACCATCTCTAGCAGTACCATCTTCCATTAAAACAAGCACAGATGTGAATGGGAAACATTGCTGAGTCAATTCGTAACTCAAACAAGATCCACAATCTCTTCAATAGACTGCATATTTCACCTTCTAGTCATCTCTTGTTTAGACACTTTCACAGAAAGTGACTCCTACCCTTCTGCTGACTGATTTCTATTCTGTGCAAATATCTCTCCTCAGAGTAATGGCAACACTTTGAAACACTCAATACAGATCTCATTCCATTAGCTTCCAGCAAATCCCCAATCTTTCGCTGTAGCAATCCACTAACTCTTACATCCATTTTATGTCCAATTTTTTTGTGGTTGGAATGTCCACTCTGCTGATCTGTATGTCCTAACTGGCTGTAGCTGTTTGTGTCAAACACACCCCTGAGATTAGCCCGTTAAAATTCTCCATCAGAGCCTTTGGCTCATCTCCATAGCTGGAGTTCTTTAACTATTGTTGTCCCTGTAACTGTGCGACTCACTGGAGGATGTAAAGGCTTCCTCTTCTTTTCTCATTGAGGCACTCCTGGAGAGGTTTCAACAGAGACTTTTCTAAGAAATGAGAGCAGCTGTGTCACTCTCATACACAACCCACATGAAGGGAGAGCAGACTGCTTTAGCTTGACATTAGCCAGCTGATTTGCTGGAAATAAGCCAAAAACCAGCCAGAAACCCTGCCAGAAATAAATCTTCCACTGACATCACTCCCTAGATAGCCTGACTCCATGGAAACAGTAGGTTCCTAGAAAGTAAAGCCAAAAGGTGTCAACACATCATCTCATCTTGCCTCATGCAATTCACTGTGTTGTGCCCCTGGTTGTGTTTTGCTACACGGTGTCTTCTAAGCCAATCTGGAACAGGTGAAGAAACTTCTCCCATTGGCATTTTTTCTGACAGTTAAACAATCTCAGCATGAAACACACAGCCTCAGTCTTCTTCCTCTTCTCACCTCTTCTGTTGTGCTTTCTCCTCCTACATTACAGCACCTGTTAGCAATCACCATGTTCTCCCTATGAAGGTATTAAACGTGTTGCAATCCAGTACCTTTTCAATCTTCTGCCTGATAAGCTGAGCTGATTGAACTTCTCCAGTTTCACACCACAATGTATTTGTCTTTATTAACAGTTATTTCAAACAGGTTCAGCTTCCTGTGAGTAGGACTGTGCCATGTGACTGCCTTGGGCTTGTCATTAATTACGTTTGCCTCACCAGATGAAATGCATACATGTTATTTTTGTCCAGAGAGATTCCATATTTAAAGTCCCTGCCAAAAATGTTGCAGAGTGTCGGGTGTAGAGCTAAGCACCATGAAATCCCAGAAGGTACGTGCCATTTGACTTCCTCTTCCTACTGATCATGACTGCAGAGAGGTGTGTTTTTGAGGTAGCTGACACTGAGCATTGCACACAATAGCACGTGCTTCAAAATTAAATAGCTTACAAAAAACAAGTCTTAAATCCTCGAATGTATTTAGTAATCAAATCTTTAGTTGAATAAATTATACATTGTCTTCCAAGGTAACTTGGAAAACCCAGGCTTATCTGTATTAAACCCAGAAACTACCTGTATCAGTCTTGAAAATTTCTCAGGTAATTAAATCAGTTGTGTCTGGCAAATCTCTTTTCAGAAAGCCACATAAACTCTTGTGATCTGTACTGCAGGAATTCCTTGCTAACTGGATACCATATCACCTTCTTAGTTATTCACACAGGACTGAGATCAACCTCAGCTGTCCCTATCTAGACCATGCTGCCTACCTTCCCAAAATTGGCACAATACTGGTGCTCTTCTAGAATACCCCAAGTATTCCAAAATACATTTTGAATGACAACAACTGACCAGAGATCTATTAGCTGGTGTGTTAGGACTCCAAACTACCCAGGGTCAGAATTTAAAAAAAAAAAAAAAAAAGAAAAAAAAAGTTTATCCCAGTAAATGTTGCTTAGCACTTTCTTTAGTTAACACATCAGTACCTCCCCATCCTGTTTCTTACCAAAAGGAGAACTGTGATACTGATCCACCTCAGCATTAACAATGTCAATGTTTTATGCATTGTGGGCCAATATTATTCTTTTTAATGGATTTCTGTGTGTTCTCCTTGAACAAGCAAATTCATATGGTCTTTAGTCTGGGCAAATATAGATGTCTTTCCTACCCCCACTGGATTAAACTTTCTTCCATATAAATTTTCAGTACACTCTTCATTCTACTGTATATTTCCTTTTATTCTTTGAGTACTGACACAGTATTAGCATCCTTTTGAATTCTCAAGTATTCTGAAATCCATTCAAAAACAGTGGGAGAGAAATCTTCTCAGCTATTTCTTCTTTTATCTATTTCTTACTTATTGATTTTTTTGTTTTCTTGTTTCTATATGCTCTCTTCCCTTCAGTCTGTTACCCAGATGGGCTTTCAGCCAAAATTGTCTTTTTTTCTTCATTGTGGCTCTTCGGAGGACCTAGAGAAAATTCTTAAACAATCCTTTAGTCCTATTCACACTTTTTCCAATCTGAGTGATTCCTCCTCATAAATTCTAGGACTGGTAGAACTACCTGCATGGAAGATGATTTGGCTAGTGATGATTTACTTAGAGGCATTTAATGCACTTCGCTAAGATAGCTCCTCTACAGAAAAAAGTTATTAATGTTTTATCTTCTTGGCAGTAGCTGTTAGACAAACTGGAAGTAGTTACTCAAGGATGTTTATTTCCATAAAGAAAATGGGTATAAACAAAAATCTCACTACTACTTTAAATGTAATTTAGTCATTGACAGAAGAACAGGTTGACCTTTGCTAACCAAAATTTTCTATAGCTGCAGCCAAGTAGTATAACTACAAGTCAAGGCATGATATACAGGCTGTGTGGTATGTCCCTTCTGCACATTTAAATACTTTCTTTCATATGGTCTTTTCTCTGAGTTTAGTCGCTCAACTTATCTACAGCAACATTTCTCAAAGTATCAGATGGGTCTGTGCTTGGAAGGTCAACTAACCCCCAAGGAAAATGAGGTGTGCACATGTACAGAAGAACTAGCCTTGCTTTTTTTGTTTGCCAATGCTTGTCAATAGCTTTTGAAGCAATCAACGCACTTAAGACTTTCACTTCATGTATTTGCAAGATTTAACTAGCTTTTACTTTCCTTTCTGCACCACTTCAACACCTTTTGCTTGGAACTCACCTGGATATCCATCATTTCTTCTGTAACACCAAAGCACTTAGTTTCCTGCTTAGCAAATACCATGAAAAAAAAAAAATGTTGCTGCTATGCATAGAAAGTATTACTTAATGAACTGCACAGTTAAAACTGAGTGTGATCCCAAATTACAAAGTATGAAAAGACTAAGCATCAAAATAAAAAATAAAAATCTACTTTCTTAAATAAGAGGTTCTCAAAACAGCATCACATGTCTTTAGAGTTTTCTGTTTTAACCTAAATATCTCTGAATGCTAGGTTAAAAATTGGATTTTGAAGTTTTTGTTTTATATTTAACTTGTAATGGTTGCAAATTTGTGTGAAAAAGCATGAAAACAGAAGGGTCTCGCTTATGAATTAATCCAATAGGGCATCTGGTAACTTTTAGGGGAAAAAAAAAAAAAAAAAAAAAGTCTGTCTTGGAGCAACTGTTTAATAAGTTAACAACAAGAGCAGCAGCTTCTCCAGGGAACAAACTCTGCTGGTGGGAAAAGCAAGAAGGGTAACCCACAATTTCTGAACTGCTGCTAAGACAGAAAGAAATATAGTGGGGTGAGGTACAGAGTGAACCTCCCAAGTTTTTATAGCCTCAGAATGCCTGGTCACCATTACAGTCAAGGAAGGTTTTTAGCTTTAGTGTATATAATCAATTTAATTTCAAATGAGTCATATTGCTAAGACCATAAGGATTGCAACTGAGCTCTATGAGGATTTCAACATCTACCCAGGAAGGTGGTGGACTAAGGCAACTGTACCACATTTTTCCTTCATCAGGTAGGTGTCCTAGCTCAGACGCCACGTTCTGTGCAGCAGTATGCTTGCTCTGCTCTCCAAATTCTAATGTATTTGGGGTTACAACACATAAAACTGAATAGACACAGGGCATCATTATAGCACTGATGTCCAGCATAAGAGACCATTAGGCACATAAAATGGTAAAACATCTATCTTAGAGAACAGCTCTCAAAATCAAATGTCACAGCACTATCTGCATGCCCAGTCTTAGGGCTGCATTTATTATCCAGTGACCTTTTAGCCCATCTACTAAGTCTAAAGACAACTGGAAGGGTTAATATCATAAGCTTGAATTTCTTGGCTTATGGTGTTTTCAGACTAGCTTTAAAGGAGAATTCTTCTGTGAAAAAATTAAGAAGTTTTATTGGCACAGACATGAAATGGACGAGTACATATATTAAGAGGATTAATTACACCCAGATTTATGCACAGACTCATTATCATCAATGCACAGAGATGTTTCCAAAATTAACAAAAGGAAGGATTATGCTTTTGAGGCAGTGGGAAGTCAAACAATCAAGGAGACTAAACTTCTCAAACAATCTTAATGAACCATGAGTGGGCAGGAGTCTGCTTACCTTCCACACATGAGGGCTGAGCCCTTGTCGTACCAGCCACCTGCCCTGGGAAGCAGGAACACTTGACAGTTTGTGACCGTTCTTCAATACGGTTCTTATTGCAGCAACGATGCACTGCCACAACTTCGCATGTCCCTTGCTTGACTTGGTGCTGGCCTAATAATTGCAGAGATAAGTGATGGAGAGCAAAACAAAACATCAGTGCACAAAGAAGCAGCCAATTTGTACAGTCCTACAAGATACTGAATCTCTCCAATGCCAGTTTAAATCCCAGGAAGAAGAAGGGGCAAAGCATCTGGCTTATTCCCCAAGTTTATCCTATTCTTACTAATAAAGATTAGTTCATCATAACAAGTCATTTTTTCAGTCTATCTTCCCCAGCCCTTACAAAGCCATAGGGAGAAAAGGAGATTGGGGTAGTAAATTAGGTGGATTCGACAAGACGACATGCAGAGACAGAGCACACTCCTTCTTTTGGCTTCCTGTCTTGCACTAGGTTTCATATTTAATTCTTTCCCTTCATAAATGGGCACGATGGATGGGGTAATATTTAATGCAAGGGAGACTTATCTTAAACAGTAGGGAAACTTTCTAACATAACATGTAAGCACTGCTAAGAACAAGATAGGCTGAAAAGCTGACATAGATAGTCAAGTTTTGTAAAAAACAAAAAACAAACCCAAACTACATGGATTTCTCAAATTCCCTCCCAGCTCATTTTGAAGAGACCTGTGATAAATATTCTATCCTATTGCTTTCCTCTCAAGTGCCTTTCCTCACAATTCACTGTCCCCTATTTCTCTGAGTTTCTTTTTCCCTTCCTCTCCTTTTTCTGCTCCTGCCTTCCCACCTTAGCTCCACCACTCCTTGTACCTGACCATTCTCCTCCACTGCCAAACCTACTCTCTGCCTTGCCTAAAACCCTTTCTCAGAAACCCTACAAAACCCCTCTCGTCTTTGTGTAAGTCATTTCCACCTCCTCACTTTCCTGAACAGCCTTCAAGTGCTTCATCTTGCATTTGTCTCATCTTATTTAGAGTAGAGCCTTGGATGGCTCTTATCTCTGTTTGTAAAGCACCTTGTAAATTAACAGCACTACAGAACAGGGTGGGTTTTTTAATAAGTGAGCTAGACAGACAACGCTGAGAATAATAAAAATATTCACCATCAAAGCAGCACAGGCTCCTTATATGAGAAGAGAATACAGTACACATACTGGTTTGGGTGAGTGTAATATCATAGGTACAGCAGACTAAAGAAAGGAAGGTGAAGGGGAGAGCACTTTTCGGAAACAGACAATCCTCCAAGTGGCAAGCTTGGACGATTATCCCGTTTCCCCACTCACTCCATCCTTGCCCTGATTTGTTTTGGTTTTGTTTTCTTTACAGTATCTGTTACTAACTAATACCAGACACAGGCTTTGGCAACAAAGCACACCTTGGTCTGATGCAATATAGCCAGGCTTACATCCTTGTAGATGAAATCTTATTGAGTGATTAAGATCACTGTACTTTTGGGACAGAAATTTTTATGAGTTGATTAAGTGGGAAATCTTATCCTTCAAAAGAGTTAGCAATGCAATTTGGGCTTCTAGGGGGTTTTCAAAAAAAACCCAGAATATTCAAATACATATATATATGTAAAATAAAACTTTTTAAAAGGTTGGCTTGGCAATGTTCCTTTGCTGTATGTGTTTTGGTTTCATGAGTATTTCAAGCACAGCTAAAGGGCTGCCTGACTTTTGTTGCCAAATTTGTATTCACAACAACATCAATAGACAAGAAACTACGTATATGCAATCCTGGAAAGGAAATTTAGTCTTCTATTTGTGCACTCAACATGTAAAAAGAAATTATACATACAGAGGTGTTTTGGGGCTTTTCTGAGGAAAAAGCTACACTGTACTTCTAAGCAAAATATGCTACAGCAAAAGAATACATAATGTACTCTACAGAAAGTTGGAAAAATGTTGAAGATGGCACAAAAGTATCTTACATAGCTATTGTAATAAGTGTATTAGCAGATTGAATTTTCATGCAAGTACCTAACACCCATATCATAGTAAACATGAAAAAACCAAAAACAGCTAACAGCTCGTAGGACAGTAGCTTCTTTGTAAGTCAATATGGAAAATAAATACACAAACAGAGAAATTAAATTGGCCATGCTACTTCATTCCAAAGTACTGTTCTACAAAACGCCTCGCATGACAATGTTTGGAGACAATAAACAAATGGACAGGGGTTCTGACAGAAAAAGATTTTGTAAAATGAGCTGGTTAATCCAAGAGAGTATATTTTTATTTATTAGATCTACAGCCTGAGACAAAGCCCTTTGGAATAAACAGGGAAAACTTCCACTGGTTTCTTACAGTGCTTACAGTGGTGGTTCTGCTTTCACTGGAGTCAACAATAAAATTCCTGTTAACTTCAGGACATCAAGGTCACAGTCTGGACTATCTCTTGAGTAGGAGACTTTACAATGGAAGGAAAAAAGTGCCAAAATGTGTCACTGCTCGGGCTGCATGCTTGCGTTTGCCATGTATCTCATCTGAAAGACCAAGCGGCAGGGCCTTCTTTTTAATTAAAGTCTATTCAACAGACATCAGACGCCAAAAGAAGAGTAAAAGCCATTTTTTCAGAAGGTACATCATAAGGATGGACTAGATCCAGCTCCAACGATCAATATGTAGCTGAAAGAATGTCTGTTTTCAAGCTCAAATCCTGCTTCCTTTAGGTGAACACTCCTGTTAAGTCAATATCAAAATAAATCAAACAGGCTGGCCCTGAGCATAGAGCCCAAAAAACCTGGGGCTTGCTTTCACTTATCCTGTTTGAATTTCAAAGCACTGACACCACTCCCCTGAAGTGCCGGGAGTCAACAGGCACACAGATGTTTGCAGAAGGCAAAATTAAGTTAACCTCATGCATGCATCCTTTGGCTTAGTAGCTGGTTTACTGTACATTTATTCATGCATCGCAGCTACATAAGTAGGTAAGAGGCGTCCCCTCTTGTTCTGCTGGCAGGGGTAGGGTGCCAAGGTTTGGAGTACTGCTGCCACGCAAAGGAAGACAGCACTCTGCTCCATCATCCCTAGTGCACAGCTCTTACGGAATATAACAGCGAAAGGCACTAAAAAGCCAAAGTCATCTGCATGCATCATTTGCATTAATTGGATTGCCCTTGTAATAGTCTTTCCCCTCCTACATATTCACATTTATATTTCCTCCTGCTTGTTCACGCACATCTTAACACTTTTTATTCTGTTGAACACCATACGCATTTCTTCTTAATAGTCAGACACTTCTGTGAACAGGTGCTGAACAAACGCCAAGTGTTAACATGCTAGCTTTCTGTCCCATTTTTGTCAGTGTTCAGCGATCTAGAGGACAAGCACTCAGTTTGAAGAATGGCTTTCAGATTTAAGAAAACTCACAGAATATCTTAAAAACTAACCATTGACTCGGTCTTTTCTCTGACAAGCTCTACTAAAACCTGTTGTATCTACATTCAGGTCCCCAAAGGCAGCAAAAAGAAAGAATATAAGAATATTCTCCTGCACATTTTAATCTCCATCTTGCACTAAATAAACCTTCATCTCAGGTTTAAAGTACATTTAAGGTACAGCTGAGAGTATAACAATAGAAAAACTCACTAACAGCCTTAAAATATTTTATCATCAGTGGATTCTCAGGAAGACAAGGCATTAGAGGAGCAAGGATTGAAGAATTTTTAAAGGGGGAAGATCACAGTAAGCGCATTCTATGCTAGACACATCAGGAAAGCCATTTCAGGGAGAACTGCATGAGAAATAGGGAGAAAGCCAGGCTCTGGAGAGCAAAGCCCCTTTGGGCTCATTTATAAAAAACCCATAAATTCATAGCTCTTCACCTGTAAACCTCTTCAGATCTGCAACCTAAGGGCTGTCAATATTTGCAGTTGAAATTCAGTTACATCTTTACGAAAACTCTCCAAGGAGAGACACATTTTATCAGCAACAGTACCAGAGAAAGGTTCCTGTTGTAGAACACTTTCCGCATACTGAAGAGGGGACGTCTGCCAGCCAGGTACTGCGGAGGACAGAGGATGAATGTTGAAAACCATGGGTCTCTGGGTTACCTCTGATCAGGATTTTGGCACATGTGTTGCTCTCCATATCCCCATTTCTTTACAGCTTAGCCTCCCTAGAAATACTCATGCTATTCGACACTTTCCCTCTCTCTCCTTACAGCACAGACATAACAGGATAGGGCTCGCTAATGGAAGCGACCTCGAAGACATTCCCTGCTATGAGTTGTGCTGCCTTTCATAATGAGATACCTACAGATAATAACAGCCTTCAGGTGCCTACATCCAGAATGCCTCCTAATGACCTCAGGGACTGGCCACATGAAGGCTCCGTGAACTTTTCTTTGTTATCTGTGGGCTTTCCAGCCCATAATATGATAGACTGTGTAGAGCTGCCAGGCAGCCTTCACAGTTTTCAGAGAAGGCAGTCATCATCTCTGAAGAACAAGAAAATACAAACTAGGAAGTTACTAGGCTTGCACGTTACAAGCCAGCACAAGTGTTGCGAGTAGAGTTGACTGAATAATCACCACTCAACTGTTTATTCTCCGTTTAATACATTTTTTCAACTAACATATTTGGCAAGACCTTATTTTCACTTTCTTCATAGGAGTAAGGGGGCAGATATGCAATTAATTCTTCTAAAACTCTTTGAAATCCTCAAATGAAAAGAGGGAAATACAATTATTGTTAATAAAATGTCAAACATCACAGTGATGCACTTCAAAACTACAAGGAAAATATCAAAGAAAGAGGAAGGCTTTCAGAGGGTTGCTAGCCAATTCTGTCCACATCCATTTCATCTCTGTGACTAATTCTAATCACTCCCAAGGAGTACTCTTTCAATGCAATATACATGCAGGCAGCATGCCTTTATCAGAAAACCTGAATAACCTCCTCTTTTTCTAATTTCTTAGCTAAGAAACATATGGAAAAGACACATTTAAAGGGAGTTTTTATCTCTGTTTCATAAGCTGCCCTCTTTGATGAGGAGAGCAACTAGCACTGTGGAGAACGGTACATCTAGACAGTAGGACAATATGATCCTAGCTCAGCACATTCTTCAGTCTCAAAACCAGCGAGCTTGG